TGATGTTTGCAATTTGAGAACGTGTGCAAATTGCGATTGCACCTGAAGCGCGTCCAGTGTCTTCTCTTGTCCAGGTGAAGACTGCGGCTGCGGCGCGAAACTGACGGAGCCGCGTTGAGTCTCGTACGCAGCAAAGGTAGGTTGTTGTTGATTTCCGCGCACGTACGATGAACCATCAAGACTCATCGGTGTTGCTCTGTTGTTGTTGTCGCTGTTGTTTGATTGCGCAGGAGCTGCTTGCTGGTGTTGCTCGTAGAAGGACATGAAGGAGAAAAATTTCTCCATCATGTTTGGGTCGAAGCCTGCTTGTTGATTCCCGGGGGTTTCCGTTGACTCTGCAGCTGGTCTTGTGCCTTCTTCTGTCTGTAGGCCAGAGACTGGAGGTGGAGTAGGGGTGGTGCCGAGAGATCCGTTGGATGAGCTCCTTTCCTTTTGTGTAGCCATGACTTGTGTTGTAAAATTTGAAAAAGTGATCTTGTCCCGCCTTGCTCTCATACCATGTTGGCCTGAGAAAAGCCCTTAGGAACTTTCAGGACTAAGATCGGGTGTTGACGTAGAGATGTAATAGCGGAAGCGTTTAATGAAGAATTGCTTGAACCACCTTGTGCTAGTGTGTGAGAACAAGATAAGTTGATAATAGCAGAGAAATACAAAGGTTTTATATGATTACAAAGGAATATGGAAAGTTCTATTTTAACTGTTTTTGCTGTTGCGGTTCGATACAGTGCCGACTCGGGTAATTGCTCTGTAACGTGTCAGTTATGTGTCCTTGCTGTCGCACTGTTCGTTTCGTCAAGTCAAAGGTCGGAGACCTTTGACCTTCGCGTAACTTCCGACGGTTGCCTTGGTTGACTCGAGTGCTTCTTCGCTGTAGTCAGCTCCGTTTTGTGTTGAAGCTTCGATACGACAGAAGCGTTTTAAATCACTTGTTTCCAACACTCGTCACACGACACCGCGAACCGTTCCTCTTGCCTACCCGTGCGTCATCAATCTGTAGCCCCAACACCAGCAGTTGTAGCACCGGTGAATGTTTCGTACCACAGAATACATCTGCCCATTCAGTGCAGCCAAACACACTGCACACCACAACTGAATGTACCGCTTGCCTGCCCGTGCCTCGTCAATCTGTAGCCCCACCACCAGCATTGTAGCAGGGGTAACTCAGTTTGATACACTTGAGAAAACGCACCAGTTCTTGTACTTGCCCACTCTATGCAGCCACCCCACACGCCACCATGGAATGTACCCCTTGCCTGCCCGCGCCTCGTCAATCTGTAGCCCCAACACCAGCAGTTGTAGCACCGGTACATTGGCTTAACACACCAAGCAAACGCACTAGTTATATATTTGCCCTCTCTGTGCAGCCACCCCACAGGCCACCACGGAATGTACCCTTTGCCTTGGCGCACCTCGTCAATCTGTAGCCCCACCAGCAGCAGATGTAGCATGGGTAACTTGGATTCATACACCCTAAAACCTCATTATGTCTTATACTTGCCCACTCTGTGCAGCCACCCCACACGCCACCACGGAATGTACCCCTTGCCTGCCCGCGCCTCGTCAATCTGTAGCCGCACCAGAAGCTGTAGCACGGGTTGTTAAATTTCTCCCCCTGCTCGTGCAAAAGGCACGGGAACCCCCCCGTGTGTCTGTTGCGCAGACCCAGGTGCAGCGCGGACGGCCATTGGGGGAGGGGTGAGAGGGGGAGAAGCGGGGGAAAGGGCTGCGCTTGCCTGCTTCCGCTGCTGCTGCTGCTGCCGCCGCCGGTGGTACTAGCAAGGCTGTTCCACTCCTCTCCTTCCGGCTGTTCCTGCTGCTGCTGATGTATCCGTTGGATCTCCCTCAAATCAACGACCTCGTAATCGTCGTCGTTGGTTCCTAGAAGGTTCTGAACCAGGCCGTTCATGTGGTCTAGAACGATCACGGGTCGCGCCGCGAGTCGCGCCTCCATAGTCCTCACCACGCGACGCCACTTCCAGATTTTATCTTCGAACCGCCATTCGCGCCGCAGCCTCCGCCGCAAACTGCTCTGCTGCTCGTATTCCCATCGGGAAATGAACGGCAGCAGCTGCGTTTGGTTTAAGAACAACCGAGTGTACTCCCGCTGATCGTCAAACCAACTAACGGGGTTCGCTAGAGCGGCTTTAAGCGCCACAGTAACTGCCCACGCGTATCCTACATACGTCCCCGCGTTGAGGTACTTAAACTGCGTGTTTACCGCCGCCGCTTCCGGCGGGAGCGCCGGGTATTTATCCTCGAGCCGATCCGGGAATCAGTACGGCTCTGCCCCGAAAACGATCGGCGCGTTGAAACTCAGAAACGCCGAGATGATACGGGCGGCGGTACAGGAAGGCACGGGCGTTACATCCAGCGCGTCTGTCGCGATGACGATCCGGTCGGGTGGCAAGCTTTGGACGTACTCGAGCACGGCTACCAGACGAGGACGGAATCCGTTCCACGGTTGATGCAACCCCACAACTGCGAGCGGCAGGTCAATCATGCTGGTGACGTCAGCGAGACGATTAAGTCCCACGGCGGAAAACGTGGAGTAAGTAACCCACTCCGCCTTGCAGTTCTTCCCGAGCTCGCGCCGCGGAATCCCCGAAGCGCGCGTCCACGTGGGCGGGTACGTGGACGGATTCTGGTCGTCGAAGTCAACGCCGTTGGGGTCGTTCGTGTCGTATTCCGCTGTCGACCTTTTCGCGCGTCGCCGGGATTGGGAGAGCCTTCTGCCGCGCGGAGCCGACGTGGAATCGCCACCGTTGCTTCCGCCGTCATCCCCGCCGCTGTTTCCGCCGCCACCGCCGCCGCCGGCGCTGGTGTCGGTGAACCACTCCCAAGCTTCTTCGCACCCATCCCGTGGCGGCTCGGGCTCGTCAATCTCCTCGTCGATAGCTGTGGTGTCGCTGCTTTTCGGTGGCTGATTTACCGCCCTTGCCGCCGCAAGTCCCGCTTCCGTTCTTTTTGCAGCTGCCTCCGTGGAAGCCGAGGGGTCTATCGGGCAAAAGAAATATTTCGATCGGGAGATGTACAGGATTGCGGTGTTGTTACACGGCGCCTTTTCAATCTCGTCGTAGAATTCTTTAATCTCCTCTTGCACCTCGTAGTACTCGCGCGTGCCGAAAAGGCACAGCAGGGCCAGTGTGGCAATAATGAAGGCGATTTTGAGTACGGGGTAAACATAGCCAGAGGATTCCACCGCCATTTTTCGGAGCCTTGCCGAGGGGCTGAGTAGCAGAAATGACTTCTCCGCTGGGGTCATTGTACAAATTCCACGCGTGGCTCGCAATATCGGATTGAATCTCACATAAACTATGCCTGAAAGGAAACCAGAAGAGCTCGAAGAGCCAAGTTCAAGGAGATGTATTTACTTCACATGTGGCATTTTCTGTCTGGAGGAGCTATCTGCTCCCTCTTACTGTGTCCTGTCCTGTGTGCTTCCTGGGCTGGTGATTGCTCAGGTTTGCAAGAAACACAAGTGAGCTGGAAGGAATGGATGTGACATGGATGTGTGAGGGTAATTCTACAGTACTGGTGGAGGGCGGCGACTTGTCCAATTTCCGTGCAACCATGTCTGCGGAGAACCGACGGATCATCGATCCATCTTTGATGAATTCGTCGATCGATCGTCGATTGACAATCTGCCGGAGCAGTTTTTTCGCACAACCTCGCACTCAACCAGATCTGCCTATTTGCTGTGCCGCCTTCTCGAGGCGCGCGGTTACTCAGGGCGTGTCATGCATGGCTTGTTTACAGCTCATGAATAACTGTTTAGACTGGTATGTAGAGGTTCAAAGCGGTGAAACAAACTTGCTATTCTGGAACGCACAACATCGTAGTCAACCGCTCTAAACGAACTGAAAGTTCACCAGCATGACCCTGCCTCATGGTGTAGTACAACTTGTGTTGCGCAAGTACACGTGTATTTTGCGGAGTGGGCACCGCTGTGGAGGGCGCACGGTTGCCTTCGTTATAAGGTTTACAGCACAGTCTTCGAGCATGTGTCTCGGCTCGGCCACCCACGTATTCCTGGAATTTTGCAGGACCAGAAGGAAGTTCTACAACTTCCGCGATACATGCGATGTCGATTGTACATGTATATTGGAGACACTAAAACAGTAAATGGGAACATCTACCATTTAAACTTACTATCAATGGAAACTCATTTCCCAGAGCCATCGCACAAATCACATGTAATGGCCCCAGTGCCGTTGCAATAGAGGCAACAAGCACCGTCCTCCACCCAATCAAGAAACTGCATGGAAAGCAATGAAGGGAAGAAAAGGAGAGGAAAGGATTTACAAACAAATATTAGCCAGTTGATGTCGTAACGAGGTCCAATGCGCATACATGACGCAATAAGCTCTTCCAGGTCGAAATCAAAGAAATTAGACGCAAAAAAACTTACGAAAACAAAAAAGAGGGTGGGGATGCTTCACATGCGCGGATGTTGACGTCCCCGGTGCCCTGACGCTCTTCTAAACCATCCGAGGGATTTACCTGTTCTTCGATGTTAAGCTCCCCCCTGCTGCCCTCACACTCGGCAACAGGAGGATTTTAGGTCGACTCAACAATCGGCTCACGAAACGCTTACCTGTTCTTCGATGTTAAGGTCCCCAGTGCCCTCACACTCTGCAAAGGGGCGTGACTAAAGGGGAAGGTTAGGGGGAAAGAGGGGGCGTGGGGTGAAGGAGAGTAGGAATGTGGTGTTACCTGTTCCTCGATGTTAAAGTCCCCAGTACCCTCACACTCTGCAATGAGAAGCGACAAGGGAGTGAAAGGGAGGAGAAATGGGCACGGAGGGAAGGAAGGTGGGCGAGAGGCATTGATGTTGGGTCACCTGCTCTTCGATGTTTAGATCCCCAGTGCCCTCACACTCTGCACGGGGAAGTGACAAGGGAGTGAAAGGGAGGAGAAGTGGGCACGGAAGGAAGGTGGGTGAGAGGCATTAATGTGGGTGTGGGGTCACCTGTTCCCCAATGTTAAGGTCCCCAGTGCCCTCACACTCTGCAATGGGAAGCGACAAGGGAGTGGAGTGCAAGGTATAGAGACAGGGGTGAGAGATCAAGGAAAGGCAAGAGGGAGTTGGCAAGGGGGAGTGGTGTAAGCTGTTCCTCAATGTTAAGGTCCCCAATGCCCTCACACTCTGCATAGGGAGAAGACGAGAGGGGAAGGTTGGGGGAAAAAGGGGGAGAGGGTTTCAGGAGAGGAGGGATGTGGGTTTACCTGTTCCTCGACGTTACGGTCACCAGTGCCCTCACACTCTGCTAAGGAAAATGACAAGTGCAGGGAAAGGAGTTAGGCTGAGGGATTTGAAACGTCTCAACACTCTGTTACAGTTCCCAGTGCCCTCACACTCTGCAAAGGGAAGTGGACAAGGGAGTGCACGCACGGTATAAAAGGGACAAGTGGAAACGGGAGTGCACGCACGGTATAAAAGAGACAAGTGGAAAAGGGAGTGCACGCACGGTATAAAAGGGACAAGTGGAAAAGGGAGTGCAGGCACGGCAGAAAAGGGACAAGTGGAAAAGGGAGTGCACGCACGGTATAAAAGGGACAAGTGGAAAAGGGAGTGCACGCACGGTATAAAATCCGGATAGAGGGGGCAAGGACGCAATCAAGAAACAGTTCACACAAGGACGCAATCAAGAAACAGTTCACACAAGGACGCACACAGAATGCTTCCTTGTATGAACATGCAACACTCTCCTCAAGCATCCAAACTTCACACTCACCAGCGCACCCATGCAGACGACGTTGCCCTCTCCTCTGCACTGGTAGCACGAGACAGCAACAGCTCCAACCTATACCAACCTCAAGCACCCCCACACAAATGCCTGAAACAACACACACTCTCACACACCAACGCACCCATGCAGACGATGTTGCCCTCCCCTCTGCACTGGTAGCACGAGACAGCAACAGGCCTCAACCTAAACCCTATTACCCTCTTCAAGCATCCACACACAATTGCCTCAAACAACACACACGCATGAAACACACACACACACACACGCACACACACACACACACACACACACACACACACACACACACACACACACACACACACACACACACACACACACACACACACACACACACACACACACACACACACACACACACACACACACCAACGCACCCATGCAGACGACGTTGCCCTCTCCTCTGCACTGGTAGCACGAGACAGCAACAGGGTTCAACCCCCTCTCCCCTCAAGCACACAGACACTTACATGCCTCAAACAACACACACAAGCCTGACACAGACACACACATATTAATGCTAAGACAAACAACTCACCCATGCAGACGACGTTTCGCTCCCCTCTGCACTGGTAGCACGAGACAACAACAGGCTTCAAACCCCCATCCCCACCCTTCTTCCCCTTCTTCCCCTTCCCCTTCCCCTTAACATCCACCAAATCCCTCCCTCCTCTCCCCTTCCCCTTCCCCTCCACCTCCCCCCTCTCCTCCTCCTCCTCCTCCTCCTCCTCCTCCTCCTCCTCCTCCTCCTCCTCCTCCTCCTCCTCCTCCTCCTCCTCCTCCTCCCCGCCCTCCTCCTTCCCCTCCACCTCCTCCCCGCCTCGACCAATCAACGTATTCGGATCCTCCCAGCGATTCTCCCCCAGAAGAAACACCCGCCTCTGCCCCATCTCTAGATCACTCCTCGCGTATCTCTCAATCTCTCTCTTTTCCCGGGTGGCAGGGGGGGCGCGGGGGGACACTTGTGAGGAGGATGAAGAGGAGGGCTCGGTTGACGGCTTTGCGGGAAGTTCGGGAGCCGGTTTGGTGGCTGGTTCGGCAGCTGGTTCGGCAGCTGGTCTGGGATTGCCAACGAGGAGAGAGAAGAGGGCCGGTGTGACGATACCGTCTTCTTGAAGCTTCATGGTTGCCTGGAGGGAGATGGAAGCATGGGGGAGGGGAAGGGAGACGAGGTGGGAAGGGGGGACGGGGAGAAGGGGTGGGAGAGAGAAGAGGCCCGGTGTGACGATGCCATCTTCTTGAAGCCGCATGGTTGCCTGGAGGGAGACAGCAGTATGGGGAGGGGAAGTGGAAGAAGGATAAGGGGATATGGGGTAGGAGGGGAGAAAAAGGGGAAGGCTGTGGTGTGATGATACCATCTTGCTGAAGCTTTATGGTTGCCTGGAGGTGTGACAGTACGGGGGTGAAGGGGGGAGTAGAGGGGGACGAGGGGTATTAGATGGGGGAGAGAAGAGGCTAGGATTTCACGAGGAGAGAGAAGAGGTCCGGTGTGACGATGCCATCTTGCTGAAGCCGCACGGTCGCCTGAAGATGGGAGGATGGGGGGGGAAGGTTGACGAGGTGAGAAGGGGGGAAGGGGAAAGGCGTGAGGGAGAGAAGAGGCCCCGTTTGACAATACCTTGCTGAAGCTGCATGGTTGCCTGGAGATGGGCGCATGGGGGAGGAAGGTGGGGGAGAGATATTGTTAGGAGGGGAGAAAAAGGAAGGAGGTGGTGTGATAATGCCGTCTAGCTGAGTGGGAGTGAAGGAAGGAGTGAGCCGGCCAGAATGTACTTTGAGTCGACTCAAATTGTACCTTTAGGAGCGAGTACTGGAAGGAAGAGAGTCTGCTTTTGAGTCGACTCAGAATGTGCTTTGAGTCGACGCAAAGTGTACCTTTAGGATATTTTTGAGAATTCTCAAAAGTACCCTGCAAAGCCAGAATGTGCTTTGAGTCGATTCAAATTGTACCTCAAGGAGCGAGTATTAGAAGGAGGAGAGCCGCATCGGGGAGTTGAATTTTGAGGCGCCTCAAAAGTGAAAGGGAGGAGTGAGCCAGAATGTGCTTTGAGTCGACTCAAACCGTACCTTCAGGAGCGAGTATTGGAAGGAGGAGAGCCACATCGGGGAGTTGCCTTTTTGTAGGCACCTCAAAAATCGCCTCACTACATGCGCATGGGAAGCAAAGATTCACCTTTAGGAGCGAGTACTGGAAGGAAGAGAGCCGCATCGGGGAGTTGCCCGTGAGGTTCATCAGGGCGGAACTTATGCGAGCCTTGCAAGCGAGGATGGAGGGAGTGAGAGGAATGAGAGAGAATAGAGGCTTTGAGATGTCTCAAAACCTTGAGGAGCGAGTATTGAAGGGAGTTGCCCGTGAGGTTCGTCAACACAAACCCACGGAAGCCTTGGGAGCCTTGCGAATGGGAGCAAGCAAGCCTTGCGAATGGGAGTGGAGGAAGGAATGAGCGAGAATACTTTTTGAGTCGACTCAAAAGAGGTGACTTTTGTTTTGAGTCGACTCAAAAATATATTTATTAAGACAGAATCCACGCGAGCCTTGCAAGCAGGAGTGAAGGAAGAGGGCACACCGGTTCTCGTCAATACAAAAGACCACCCGAACGAAGTGACTTTGAGTCGACTCGAAAGTCACCGGGTCAGTCAATACAAGGGACCATTGGAACGAAGGAGTGAGCGAGAATAGAGGGAAAGGAGGTAGTAGCAGCAGCCAAGACCAGAAGCAGGCAAGAGGGGAGTTCAAAATGTGTGACAATCCCTCCCACACCTGCCTATCTCTCATCCAGTCCTCCTATCACCCCCTCACCTGCCACGTCTTCACAGCACTCTCCGTGTTGTCACCAAAATACGAATCCTCCTCGCCCTCCTCCCCACAGTAAAACCCCTTACACCATTTCATCCTTCGCTTGCCCCCTCCCCTACTACCCTACCCCTCCCATCACCCGCTCACCTGCCACGTCTTGACAGCACTCTCGGTGTTGGCGCCAAAAAACTCATCCTCCTCGTCCTCCTCCCCACAGTAGAACCCCTGCCGGGCCAATGCAGCCTGCACGCACATACAAGCAGATGCACATAGGAGTGAGAGAGAGTCTCAAGGATGCATCCTCCGCCCTCCTCCCCACAGTAGAACCCCTGCTGAGCCAATGCAGCCTGCAGCACGCACATACAGGAACACATACACAGGGTCGCATGGTTTCGTCATCATCTATTCACATAATGCAGCCTGCACGCACATACAGGAGCACATGCACAAGGGCACATGACAGCCTACCTGCAGTTGCTGCATGTCCTCTCGATATGCTCCCCAATTCACACTACAGCATTCACCCATTAACTAAACATATGTATGTATGTATATATGTATATATGTATATATGTATATATGTATATATGTATATAAATATATATAACATATTCCAATCGTCACTATACCTGCAGTTGAGCCACGTCATCTCCATACAGTCCCCGATTCAGCTTCCGCTGACCCTTCCTCGCTCCTTCCTCCTGCTTCCCTGCGCCCGGTGTAGCCACTGCCACGTCAGCGCCGCCCTCATCCACGTCAGCAGGGAGCGGGTTCACCGTGCGCGACGCTACAGCCGCGATGATGTCAGCATCGGGAACGTTCCTCAGGATTTCCTCTGCAGTTGCTCCTGCAACGCCAGCCGTAGATCTAACTCCATCAACGGCTGTAGCTCCACCTGTAGCTCCGGCTGTAGCATTGCCCGTAGCTGAAGCTGTTGGCCCCAACAGCTGTAGCAGGCTCTCCGCTCCTGCGCCAGCAATCACTCCTGATGACGTGGCAATTGCTGCTGACGTGGCTACCTCGCTGGCTCGGTGGCTATCCGTCGTTATCTGTAGCAGGTGCGTTAGCCCCCGCAGCAGCACCAGCAGCTGCTGCTTCGATAGATCACTCCCCAGTCCCCCAGTTCCCCCTACTCCTCCGCCCATCCCCCCGCCAACCGCTTCCGCCAGCTGCGCCTGCGCCTGGGGGAGGAGAGAGGGGGAGCTCTGCGTCAGCCCCCCTCCCCCCGCGCTTGTAAGCGCGGCGCGGAGAGATTCGACTTCCGCTTTGAGCGCCGCTATCTCCGATTCGAGGGAAGCGCGTTCGCGCGTCCACCGCGCTTCCTCGCGTTCCCACCGCAGCTCTTCCCGCTCCCACCGCTGCTGCTCGCGCTCCCAGCGTCTCTCCTCGCGCTCCCACCATTCCGTCACATCGTCCCCTCCGTTACCGCCAGCACCTCCGCCGCCGCCGTCGCGGGTGGCGGAGACCAGAACAGCCTTTCTGGCGGAGACTGTTCCGCGCGGGGCTGTAGCTCCGCGGAATGCTTTCTGCTCCGTGAGCGACCGGTGCAAGGTAAATTGCCGGCTCGAAAGGCTCTCGCTGTAGCCCGGGCGGCCCAGTTGCAGGGTGCACGGCTGTAACCCCACGGATGTAGCACCGCGCGCGGATATCATGGAGGAACGGCGGGGATCCGCGGGGGAAACCAAGGCGACAGTGTGATTGTGGGTGAATGTGATTATAGAGCTAGCGGCAGCGGAAATAGTTGATGCCATTTGGCTGGAAAAGCGGGAACGAATCCGTTCGTTCCAGTGGCAATGCAGCCTGCTTCAGAGCCCGGATTTCGCGGAAGAAGTCAAAGAAACTATCGAGGCTATCAAGCCAGAATGGATCTGCAATCTCGACCAGCAAAATATCAAGGTCAGGAAACTATCCCCGAGATTATGTACTCGCTTGCAACGATCTCGTTCCCAGTTTGTCGGAAATACATCAACCAAGATGAATACGAATTCTAATTTATTGAATTAATAACCATTTCAAGTTTGGTGGAATGCACTTCCGTTCCGTGCTGTGACCGTTGGGGGGTGGGGGCCAGTCGTTTTCGGCAATCAACCAATCGCAACGGTCGACTGTAGCCAGATGTCAGCAACCAGAAGCAAATTCGTGCTTTACGCTGCCCGAAACCCGAAGCAACGCGAAGTTCTCCCATAAATCAGGGGTAAATTTATCCACCCGAGCATCTCGGGCGAGCACTCCAGCAGGGCGGGTTAGGAGCTGTCACACCCAAACCCCAAGGTAGTCGTGCTCTTACTGAAAACAGGGTACTGTCTGTTATACAAGCGAGTTTGTGATTTGAGGAAACTCGGCTCTGAAATTCCGGGTTTTGCCAACTACCAAGGCTGTCAGATTCATTAGTCAACACGAGGAGTATTCTGGAATCTAGAGTTGTGGATTCGAGCGCGATGAAATCCCCAAGAGTTCCATTTGAGCATTCACGAAGCTCGTCAGATGCACATAAGTCCCATTCTTCCCACTTTCACTGCGAATCTGTCGGCTAGACGAGCAGAATCGTGACTAGGAATCCTCCTTCCGCCACTGTCTGTCGTGACCCGCGTTCCCAGCCCAGCTACCAATATTCGCAAGAGCCGTTCTGGCTAGACTCTTTTTCCAAAACAACGTTCATGCAGACTTCCGTTAATCAGTTTCGTTCTGTACTGTTTGTTTTTACACCTTCTTCGAGCTTCGACTCCATGGACGAAGCCACTAGCTGAGAGGGTGCTTTCGCTAGACGAGTCTTCACTTTAAAGAAACACTAAATTACTGGGATACTTTGGCCAAGCGATAGTGTATTAGAGAAGCCCGAGGTCTCACAGCTAACGAAAAGGTCGAATAGCGAGCGAACAGAGATAGAGCAAGCGAACAGCCTCACGCTGACCATCTCCGACTCGCAGAGCTATCGCACAGTCGCAAAGTAGCCACACAGCAGTCCCACAGCAGTCGCACAGCAGTCGCACAGCAGTCGCACAGCGATCGAGCGACATGGCGAATCTGGGATTCTTCAAGGAAGTGATGGCTGAAGCTGTAGACAGGGCCAAGGGCGCCGTGGTGGAGAAGACGCAGGCGGCGGTGGGGAAGGCGAGGGAGATGGTCGGCCTGGTGGATGGCTCGGTGGAACCCTCTGCTCCTCCCCCGGAGCCGTCGATTCTGGACGAACTGAACCAGTACTGCTCGCTCACGCTGAAACAGGTGCGTTCCTTCCCTCACTCCTCTTTTAGGCCCTTTAATTGAGCCTGAGTTGAGCCTGAGCTGTGAGCCGCTCTAATCGGGTCGAGGGTCACCTGGGTGAAGCGGTAGACAGGGCGAAGGGCGCCGTGGTGGAAAAGACGCAGGCGGCCGTGGGGAAGGCGAGGGAGATGGTGGGACTGGTGGATGCCTCGGCGGATCCCTCTGCGCCGCCCCCGGAGCCCTCGATCCTAGATGAACTGAACCAGTACTGCTCGCTCACGCTGAAACAGGTGCGTTCCTTTCGCTCTTGGTTGGTTGCTGTTTGAATGGTTGTGGGGAAGGTCGTGCGGAAGGCTGTGGGAAGGCCGTGGGGAAGGCGAGGGAGATGGTGGGACTGGTGGATGCCTCGGCGGAACCCTCGGCGCCGCCCCCGGAACCATCGATTCTGGACGAATTAAATCAGTACCGCTCGCTCATGCTGAAGCAGGTGCGCTCTTCGCTCCTGCTGGTTGTTTGGTTGGTAGCTTATGGAAAAGGCTGTGGGGAAGGATGTGGGGAGGGCCGTGGGGAGGGAAGTGGGGAAGGCTGTGGGGAGGGCTGTTGGGAGGGAAGTGGGGAAGGCGAGGGAGATGGTCGGCCTGGTGGATGCCTCGGAGAACCGTCGATTCTGGACGAACTGAATCAGTACTGTTTGCTCACGCTGAAGCAGGTGCGTTCCTTGGCTCCTGTTCTGAAAAGGCCGCGGGGAAGGTGGAGGGGGAGCCCTCGATTCTGGACGAGCTGAAGCAGTACTGCTTGCTCACGCTGAAGCAGGTGCGCTCCTTGGCTCCTGTTTTGAAAAGGCCATGTGAACGGTTGTGAACGGTTGTGCGGGAGCGCTGCTAAACTTCACTCTCCCACTGCATGGCTCCTCTGGCCTGTGAACGATTTACCATCACGCATCACGCTGCTAAACTTCACTCTCCCCTGATTTACCATCTCCATTCCCCCCTCGCATGCCTTGCTGCATGTCTGTTGCAAATGCGTCTCAGAGAATATACGGCTTCGCCACCTGTCTCTGCATCGGCATCCTCTGCACGCTCATGGTAATTGCCTTCTTGTGGCACCCACCCACCCTTTTGTGTTGTAACCGCCTTTGCATGGTAACCACCTTCCCCTGCTATACGGCTTTGCCACCTTTCTCCTCATCGGCATCCTCTGCACGCTCATGGTAACCACCTTCCTTTGGTAGACTGACTGCTTTTGTGTGGTAACCACCTTTGCATGGTAACTGCCTTTGCATGGTAACCGCCTTTGCATGGTAACCGCCTTTCTGTGGCAGCTGGTAACGATGGTAACCGTTTTCAATACCCCCCATCCCATAGTATATGGCTTTGCCACCTGTCTCTGCATCGGCATCTCCTGCACGCTCATGGTAACCCTATCTGTGGTGTAAGGGTGCCGTTGTTACCATTCATAATAGTCACGTTTTCCCGGTATATGAATCTCCCATGTGCCTCTGCATCGGCATCTTTTGCACGCTCATGGAAACCCATTCAACGCCAGTCCCTATAATCCAACACCAGTCCATTCTTGTGTGCCCATCTCGCATCAATTTCATACCCCCCAATCCCAGCCACACAACATCTTTATCCTCCCCTCCCCCCCATTCCCCACCCTCCTTTCGCACCGAGTTCATCGCCAGTCCATTGTGATAAGTCGGTTTTTGAGTCGACTCATGAGCCAGCCACACAACACCTTTATCCTCCCCTTTCTCCCCTTCCTCCCCTTCCTCCCATTCTCCACCCTCCTTTCTCACTGAGTCCATTGCCAGTCCATTCATGCGATTCCATCCATCAACTCTTCCACTCCCCTCGTGCCCCCCGCTCCATTGATTTCAACGCCATCCATTCTCGTGTTTCCATCGCCCATCAAGTCCCCCATCACCTACTCGTAACCACTCACCTTCCCATCCCCCGCCATTCCCCCCCATTCCCCTTCCCCCTCTCCCCCCCCTTCCCATCACGGGTCCTATCACCAGTCCATTCTCGTGTTTCCATCGCCCATCAAGTTCCTGTATCCCCACTCCTAGTTACTCAATTTCCCGTCCTCTCCCCCCATCCCCCCTTCCCCCCCACTGATCCCAACGCCAGTCCATCCTTGTGTTCCCATCAAATTCGCTCTTACCTACTCCCATCCCAGCCACACAACATCCCTTTCCCCCTCCCCCCCCGTCCACTCTCCTTCTACCTACCCTACTGACGCCAGTCTATTCTCGTGTTCCCATCGCCCATCAAATTCGCTCTCACCTACTCGATCGGGAACCTCATGGCTATTGGCAGGTGAGAGGGGTGCGGTGAGGTGCGGTGAGGGGAGGTCAGGTCAGGTCAGGTTAGGTCAGGTCAGGTTAGGGCCTGACAGACAGCCGGTCAGTGCTCCCATCAAATTCGTTCTCACCTTCTCGCTCGCATGGCCACTGGCAGGTTAGACAAGAGGTGGTGAGGTGCGGTGAGATGAGGGCCAGATAGACAGCATCAACATCCCTCCCACCCCACATGCAACCCATGAGAGTAGAGGCATCCACTTGGCCGTGGTTTGAGGTGCCTCAAAACTAGTCCCACCTACTCGCTCGTATGGCCATTGGCTGGTGAGATGAGAGGTGCTGAGGTCGGGTCAGGGCCAGGGCCAGACAGACAGCATCGACATTCTTCCCACCCCACCTTTTCGCCCCTGAGATTAGAGGAATGCACCTGGGCACGGTTTGAGGCGCCTCAAAACTAGTCCCGCCTACTCGCTCGCATGGCCACTGGCAGGTGAGACAAGAGATGGTGAGGTGAGGTCAGGGCCCGACAGCATCAACACCCTTCCCACCCCACTTTGAGGCGCCTCAAAATACACCTCAGGTGAGACAAGAGATGGTGAGGTGAGGTCAGGGCCCGACAGCATCAACACCCTTCCCACCCCACTTTGAGGCGCCTCAAAATACACCTCAGGTGAGACAAGAGATGGTGAGGTGCGGTTAGGGCCCGACAGCATCAACATCCTTCCCACCCCACTTTCAACCCATGAGAGTAGAGGCTGGGCCCATGAGAGTAGAGGCTGGGCCCATGAGAGTAGAGGCTGGGCCCATGAGAGTAGAGGCTGGGCCCATGAGGAGTAGGAGGCTGGTCCCATGAGAGTAGAGGCTGGGTCCATGAGAGTAGAGGCTGGGCCCATGAGAGTAGAGGCTGGGCCCATGAGAGTAAGAGGCTGGGCCCATGAGAGTAGAGGCTGCGGCCATGAGAGTCAGGCGCGTCCCATGAGAGTAGAGGCTGGGCCCATGAGAGTAGAGGCTGGGCCCATGAGAGTAGAGGCTGGGCCCATGAGAGTAGAGGCTGGGCCCATGAGAGTAGAGGCTGGCCCATGAGAGTAGAGGCTGGGCCCATGAGAGTAGAGGCTGGCCCATGAGAGTAGAGGCTGGGCCCATGAGAGTAGAGGCTGGGCCCATGAGAGTAGAGGCTGGGCCCATGAGAGTAGAGGCTGGGCCCATGAGAGTAGAGGCTGGGCCCATGAGAGTAGAGGCTGGGCCCATGAGAGTAGAGGCTGGGCCCATGAGAGTAGAGGCTGGGCCCATGAGAGTAGAGGCTGGGCCCATGAGAGTAGAGGCTGGGCCCATGAGAGTAGAGGCTGGGCCCATGAGAGTAGAGGCTGGGCCCATGAGAGTAGAGGCTGGGCCCATGAGAGTAGAGGCTGGGCCCATGAGAGTAGAGGCTGGGCCCATGAGAGTAGAGGCTGGGCCCATGAGAGTAGAGGCTGGGCCCATGAGAGTAGAGGCTGGGCCCATGAGAGTAGAGGCTGGGCCCATGAGAGTAGAGGCTGGGCCCATGAGAGTAGAGGCTGGGCCCATGAGAGTAGAGGCTGGGCCCATGAGAGTAGAGGCTGGGCCCATGAGAGTAGAGGCTGGGCCCATGAGAGTAGAGGCTGGGCCCATGAGAGTAGAGGCTGGGCCCATGAGAGTAGAGGCTGGGCCCATGAGAGTAGAGGCTGGGCCCATGAGAGTAGAGGCTGGGCCCATGAGAGTAGAGGCTGGGCCCATGAGAGTAGAGGCTGGGCCCATGAGAGTAGAGGCTGGGCCCATGAGAGTAGAGGCTGGGCCCATGAGAGTAGAGGCTGGGCCCATGAGAGTAGAGGCTGGGCCCATGAGAGTAGAGGCTGGGCCCATGAGAGTAGAGGCTGGGCCCATGAGAGTAGAGGCTGGGCCCATGAGAGTAGAGGCTGGGCCCATGAGAGTAGAGGCTGGGCCCATGAGAGTAGAGGCTGGGCCCATGAGAGTAGAGGCTGGGCCCATGAGAGTAGAGGCTGGGCCCATGAGAGTAGAGGCTGGGCCCATGAGAGTAGAGGCTGGGCCCATGAGAGTAGAGGCTGGGCCCATGAGAGTAGAGGCTGGGCCCATGAGAGTAGAGGCTGGGCCCATGAGAGTAGAGGCTGGGCCCATGAGAGTAGAGGCTGGGCCCATGAGAGTAGAGCTGGGCCAGTAGAGAGAGCTGGGCCCATGAGAGTAGAGGCTGGGCCCATGAGAGTAGAGGCTGGGCCCATGAGAGTAGAGGCTGGGCCCATGAGAGTAGAGGCTGGGCCCATGAGAGTAGAGGCTGGGCCCATGAGAGTAGAGGCTGGGCCATGAGAGTAGAGGCTGGGTCCCATGAGAGTAGAGGCTGGGCCCATGAGAGTAGAGGCTGGGCCCATGAGAGTAGAGGCTGGGCCCATGAGAGTAGAGGCTGGGCCCATGAGAGTAGAGGCTGGGCCCATGAGAGTAGAGGCTGGGCCCATGAGAGTAGAGGCTGGGCCCATGAGAGTAGAGGCTGGGCCCATGAGAGTAGAGGCTGGGCCCATGAGAGTAGAGGCTGGGCCCATGAGAGTAGAGGCTGGGCCCATGAGAGTAGAGGCTGGGCCCATGAGAGTAGAGGCTGGGCCCATGAGAGTAGAGGCTGGGCCCATGAGAGTAGAGGCTGGGCCCATGAGAGTAGAGGCTGGGCCCATGAGAGTAGAGGCTGGGCCCATGAGAGTAGAGGCTGGGCCCATGAGAGTAGAGGCTGGGCCCATGAGAGTAGAGGCTGGGCCCATGAGAGTAGAGGCTGGGCCCATGAGAGTAGAGGCTGGGCCCATGAGAGTAGAGGCTGGGTCCATGAGAGTAGAGGCTGGGCCCATGAGAGTAGAGGCTGGGTCCATGAGAGTAGAGGCTGGGCCCATGAGAGTAGAGGCTGGGCCCATGAGAGTAGAGGCTGGGCCCATGAGAGTAGAGGCTGGGCCCATGAGAGTAGAGGCTGGGCCCATGAGAGTAGAGGCTGGGCCCATGAGAGTAGAGGCTGGGCCCATGAGAGTAGAGGCTGGGCCCATGAGAGTAGAGGCTGGGCCCATGAGAGTAGAGGCTGGGCCCATGAGAGTAGAGGCTGGGCCCATGAGAGTAGAGGCTGGGCCCATGAGGCATGCACCTGGGCAGGGGATGTGCCCAGGTGCACTTCACAAGGCCAGCTCGAGGTGATGCTTCATCCAATCCTTCTCCTTTCCCTCATTCACTCTCTCGCTACCTTTCCTTCTTCCCTCCCCTCTCCCCCTGCTGCAAACACCACAAGGTTCCTGATAGGCTTCACAAGGCAGCTATTATGATTGATTTTAACCTTTTTCTCCCAAACCCTGTCCACTCTCTCCCACCTCCGTTCCTTCTTCCCTCCCCTCTCCCCCTGCTGCAAACAGCACAGGGTTCCTGATAGGCTTCACGCGGCTGCTCAAGATGACGTTTGATCCAAACCTTCTCTTCCCACTCCCTGTCCACTCTCTCCCACTTCCTCCCTCCCACCATGGCAACAGCACAGGGTTCCTGATAGGGTTCACGCGGCAGCTCAAGATGATGTTTGATCCGACCTCTCGCTTACATCCTTTTGCCCCCTTCTGTTTTTCACAGCACAGGGTTCCTGATAGGCTTCACGCAGCAGCTCAAGATTATGTATAATCTAAATTCATCCCTCTTCCTGTCAGCTCTCTCCCACTTCCTTTTCCCCGCATCCTCCCCCTCCTTCTGTTGCAAACAGCACAGGGTTCCTGATAGGCTTCACGCGGCAGCTCGAGATGACATTTGATCCCATCCTTTTCTTCTGCCCCGCCTCTATCCCCACTTCCTTTCCCCCTTCCCCCCCCCACTCCCACTGCTGGCAACAGCACAGGGTTCCTGATAGGCTTCACACGGCAGCTCAAGATGATGTTTGATCCGACCCCGCCCTTTTTTCATCCCCTCTTTCCTACTTCCTTCCCCTCCTCCCTCCGCCATTCCTTCCTTCCTGCTTCCTTTCCTGCTGCAAACAGCACAGGGTTCCTGATAGGGTTCACACGGCAGCTCAAGATGATGCCACGGCAGCTCAAGATGATGCCTGGTCCGATTCCTTCTTTTCCCAATCCCTCTCCACCCTCTCCCACTTCCTTTCCCTCTTCCCCCCTCTCCCTCCTCCGTTCCCCCACTGGCAACAGCACAGGGTTCCTGATAGGCTTCACACGCCAGCTCAAGATGATGTTTGATCCGATTCGAATCGGTGCTGCCATCGTCTTTGTCATCTCACTCGTCCTCACACTCGTTGCTGCTCTTTATGTGAGCAATTTACCCTGTTTAACAAGTTATCTTTCTTTTTTTTCTCGCTTGTCCTCACACCTGTTTCTGCTCCCAATGTGTGTAATCTACCCTGTGATATCGAATCTCTGTACACTGAGACATCCTCGCACTCCCTTCTGGTTTATGCATGCACAATTTACCCTGTACAAATGATGCAACCCGTTTGTGTGTGGTTTCACTGTTATTAACATGGGTGATATTCATATTCCCTTTCCCTTGACTCCGATGCTTTAGAATTTTACAAAAATCCATTATCATGAGGTGATATTCATATTCCCTTTTCCTTGACTCCTGCCCGTGAGCAGGTTCAAGACGCTCTCCTCACGCTCCTCTGCATCGTCGTGCAAGCATGTTCCCTCATATGGTATGCCATGTGCCCTCATATGGTATGCCATGTGCCCTCGTATGGTATGCCATGTGCCCTCATATGGTATGCCATGTGCCCTCATATGGTATGCCATGTGCCCTCATATGGTATGCCATGTGCCCTCATATGGTATGCCATGTGCCCTCATATGGTATGCCATGTGCCGTGAATGGTATGCCATGTGCCGTGAATGGTATGCCATGTGCCGTGAATGGTATGCCATGTGCCGTGAATGGTATGCCATGTGCCGTGGATGGTATGCCATGTGCTGTGGATGGTATGCCATGTGCCGTGGATGGTATGCCATGTGCCGTGGATGGTATGCCATGTGCCGTGGATGGTATGCCATGTGTCGTGGATGGTATGCCATGTGCCGTGGATGGTATGCCATGTGCCGTGAATGGTATGCCATGTACCGTGAATGTCATGACAGGTTGCATGAATGTTATGCCATGTACTGTGTGGGTGTTATGGCATGTACTGTGGGGGTTTTATGGCATGTACCATAAATGGTAGGCCATGTATCGTGTACGCCATTATGATTGGTGCAAGCATGCGGCCTTATAGGGTATGGCATGCGCTCTTTCATGGTAGGGCGTGTGCCACATATGGTTTGACATTCGCCCTTCTATGTTCTGACTTGACCACTCACATCACATGGTTTGCATGCATGTAACGAGGTGACTTTTGAGTCGACTCAAAAGTCACTCACATCACATAGTTTGCATGCATGTACCTAAGCATCTTCCCATGTTCCTTCTCTTCGGCCTCATCTCAGTACTGTTGCACTCTTTCCCTTCCATGTGCTTTATTCCTTTCCCTTGTATCTCTCGCTTCACTTCGCCCTCTCTTTGTTTCACTTCCCTTCCTCTATTTCCTTCTCTTCGTAAGCGAATCCACTTATCTGTGTTCACACAAGAACCTCTCAAGTGTTCATTTCCCATCCTTCTCCCCCCTTTCTTTCCTTCATCCCCTCTCTCTCTTTCCTTCTCCCCCCCTTCTCTTTCCGTTCCCATCCCTTCATTTCACATCAGGTACTCGTTAAGCTACATCCCCTTGGCGCAATCGTCGGCTAAAAGGTGCATGCGCATGTGCTACGAGGCGGAGTTTTGAAGCATACAGAGATTTTGATTTTCCAGATAGTTCTGCACTACAGACTAATAGCAGATCTGCTATGTACAGTTAATAACATTCTGTAGTCTGTGTTCCTCATATACACAAATGTGCTCATTGTTAGGCATGCAATAGTGGATGAATATGTACAGTACGGTAAGTGCCACAAACTGTATCCTGTTATAACCGTTCAACAACTGATAGGAAATTCCTATACAGTCCTGGGCATCACCCCACGTAATGCTAATGATGACATGCCACGGCCGCAAGTCCCCCGTCCGCAGGGCGCAACCACCGCACGCGGCGGACTTGACGCAGCAGTAGTCGCCTAAGAAGGATTAACTAATGCCCGTACGACTTCGGCGCTTCAGCCGTCAGAATCCATGACCAACGTTATCCGCATACTGGCTGCATGCGCGATTCGAACCGCCTCAGATTCTCAAAAGACAACCGCGTAATTCGGTTTGGATCTGGTTATGGTCGGGGTGCAAGCTAGCATCAGCACCACGACCATCACAAGCACGGGGAGCAGCAGCAGCTCGTCCGGCGGCGGGCCGACGCGCGGCAACATCGCTGGCAGCAGCAGCACCACCACCATAGCCACCACCGTTACAAGAAACACCGACGACCAAGGCGCAAGAATCTGCGGATCCGCCGCTGCCGCCGCCGCCGCTTCCGCGAGGTCGTCCGCGCACACGCCGCTTCCGCGACAGCTCTTTCTCTGCGTCAAACTTGCGTCCGCGGCTGAACTGGTGGCGCAACTTTGGGGGCCTTCTGTTGCCGCTTCCGCCATGGTCGCGTCCGCGCAATTGTCTCCGCGGAAGCTGGCGCAAGGAGCGGCGGAAGCATGTGCTGAGGGCTCGCGCATCAGCAGGCGACTCAAACCCCTCTGCGATCCGCCGCTTTCGCCGCTCCGTCGCGCCGACACCCCCGCGAAATCATCCGCTCGGTTCCCGCCAATTAAGCTACCAGTAGCGGCGGCTCGGCTTCTAATGTGCGTCCCGGAACCGCACTCCCGCCAGCTTCCGTGCCCTTCAGTTCTAGGAACGTCTGCCTTCACGCCAAAATGGCCAAACGCGGCGCCTCTACTACGCTCCGAACGAACCGATGAGGGCTGCGTGAATTGCGGAAGCTCTTGAAGATCAGCACCGGCCCTGGTGCCTACGTGCGCGTGAGAGGCGACATACGCGTTCGTAGCCGCTGCGACGGATTCGGTATAGCCAGTGGCGACACTTGAGCATCGGCGGAAATTCCGGCTGCTACCCGTGCTCGGGGGGTCGCTTTGGGGGCTGAGATTCGGCGGCGACAGTGCGTGCGACGGTGTGTGCGACAGCGCGTGCGACAGTAGCGATTTTCCGCTGGCGCCGCCGTGCATGGAGCTACCGGGAGATGAGTCGCTGGAACCGCCGTGAAACGCGGTGATGAAGCCACGTGGATCCTCCAAGACGCGCCGCGTGTGGTCGTTGAGAGTTGGGGCTGCGGCTGACGACAATGGTGTGTTGGATATGCACATTTTGCGAACGGCTGTAATTTCTTCGTCTGAAACCTGAACACTGCTAGTCCAGCACAGGAATGAAAGGCAAGTGGGTTGTCGAGTCTACAACATAAAGATCGAGAAAGCCGATTCTAAGCTTTAGTAGAATCTGGTAGATGGTGCTGCTGACGCTTTGAAAAAATGGCGATGATACGTGTCATTAGGGATTGGAGTTGGGAAGTTGCTCGAGAAAGAATGTTTTACCTAATCATGGAAATGCGGCGAGATATCACCATGCATGCACTGCAGATGGAAAACGAGAAACTGTGCTCTGCTCAACGAAGAACTGCTTTTTGAACGGTCAACGAGATTGCGCGGATGGAATGGAAGCCTTGAGCACGTGGAAGGTGAGAAGAACTGTTCTGAAGTGGAGCTTCTGCCGTGTCAGTTGAGTTGAAAAGCGTAAACAAAGTATGTTTTGTGGGATTCAACGGCTTTTGATACGGTGATGCGAGCATGATGGTTGGCTTTCATGCTCTTTTGATGCGCTGGATGTTGCCATCGATGTGCGCTGTACCTAGGGAACGCGCGTGGACTGTTGCGCGTGGTACCGCCCTTGGGGTGCCTTTTGGTGGGAGAGCGGGTGCGGCGGTGGCTCGCCCGCCAGACTGTGCCACCCAGCTCTCCCCTCCACAACCACGAGCGTAACACGAGCACAAACCAAGCGGGCCACGGTCTGCGATTTTGACAAGAGTGAGGCATTGTACACCTGGTCCGCGGTATTTTAACCGCCGGTATCGTAACCAAGTTTGTCGGCACGCTGGGCGTTTCTTGTTGGGTGGCCAGAAATCGCTGTTCACACTTGACCGAACCAAGTTGCAGATTGCCAAGCCTTTTTTTGATATTTCAGCTGGCGCCTTCCACGTGGCAAGCGAATTTCCCCATCCGAATTTTCCAAAAAGAATCGTCACCGTCGATGATTTACTTTCCCGACTCTGGAACATTCCAGATGGCGAAAAGAGCCGAATTGCTCCTTTTGAGTAGTGCTGTCAAAACTTTCCATGCTGTTCAGATATTTGGTGGTGAAAATAATGACCGAAATTTTGCACCCTTATCTTCACCACGGCCAGATAATCCAAAATCCTGCTACCCATTTTCGCGCGGTTAAAATACCGCGGACCAGGTGTATGGAGAACATCGCGGGGCATTTGGGAATTTGGGAAACTTGTCATGAAGATGGTGGGAGGTGGATGTACAAATGGTTGGATGGAAACTGGAAGCGGGTGCCATACAGCAGTTCGAAGCTCAAAGGCCTCGGAGAGTTGGGCACATTTGGCTGAAACCGACTAGAGGTTGTGTGTAGTAGTATGTTAAAGCCGCGGTGCAACTATCTTAGGAACAGTGTCAAACCGGGTTTTGTCTTGTTCCGTACTGGTAGTCAATTGGCTAGCGAGAGTGTAAGTCGTGTTGCGATGAAAACATCTAAGGTGAATGTCGCGAACCTCGAAAGGAAAAGTGGGGGGGAAGGGGTTGGGGGGAAGGAAAGGGGGGAACACACACGAAACGGGAAACGGGACCACATCAACACCCCCATACTCCCTTTCGCTGATTGTTCTGCCAATAACACCTCCACATTGCAAAACGAGAAACCTTATGTTCCAAAAAAGCTGCGCAAAATACCAATTTCACTTTCAAGTTTTATTTTGGTTTATTTATCCATCCATTTGCAAGAGTAATATTTCTAATGGGGAGAAAGAACATCAGCTGTACAGATGTGCAAGACTTGGAATGTCATATTGAAATCCTTATTATGCTAAGGATAAAAGCAAACATGGCATCATCCAAGGAGAGCAGATTTTTACACTCCGATCCACTATTGGTGCAGCTGTCCATTTGCAGGGAGGAGGGGGGGAGGGGAAAGGGGGGAGGGGGGGGGGGGGGAGGTGGGGAAGGGAAGGAAACGTTGCACATTATTGAAGAATGTTAGGTAGGGAAATTGAAGAGAGCATGGAAACTGAGATATGATAGACAGCCTTCAGTGGCCAAGCAAAGCTGGTACTGTCGGCTGGGCTGGACGAGAGAACGTAGTGGAAAGGGAAGGGACGGTAGTGGGGGAAAGCAAGGGACAGGGGAGGGGGGAAAGGGATGGCTGAGAGAAGCTGTGAATGGTGGGAGAGGACAGTAGGAAAGGAAGGGATGTGAGAGAGGGGGAGGAAGGGTGGGAGGGAGAGAGGACAGGGGGAAAGGGAGAGAACGACAGGGGGAAAGGGAGAGGCGGACAGGGAGAAATGGAGAGGAGGACAGGGGGAAAGGGAGAGGAGGACAGGGGGAAAGGGAGAGGAGGACAGGGGGAAATAGAGAGGAGGACAGGGGGAAAGGGAGAGGACAGGGGGAAAGGGAGAGGAGGACAGGGGGAAAGGGAGAGGAGGACAGGGGGAAAGGGAGAGGAGGACAGGGGGAAAGGGAGAGGAGGACAGGGGGAAAGGGAGAGAAGGACAGGGGGAAATAGAGAGGAGGACAGGGGGAAAGGGAGAGGAGGACAGGGGAAAGGGAGAGGAGGACAGGGGAAAGGGGAGAGGAGGACAGGGGGAAAGGGAGAGGAGGACAGGGGGAAAGGGAGAGGAGGACAGGGGGAAAGGGAGAGGAGGACAGGGGGAAAGGGAGAGGAGGACAGGGGGAAAGGGAGAGAAGGACAGGGGGAAATAGAGAGGAGGACAGGGGGAAAGGGAGAGGAGGACAAGGGGAAAGGGAGAGGAGGACAGGGGGAAAGGGAGAGGCGGACAGGGGGAAAGGGAGAGGAAAACAGGGAGGGCACTGGCCAAGCGAAGTTGATGCTGAGGATCGGGCAAGGGATCGGAAAGGGGGAGGCATTGGAAAGGGGGAAATTGGATGGGACGGGAGGTGACAGGGTGGGACGCGAGATGCTTCGCCACCGTCGCACAGATGCTTCGCTCCGCTGCTCGCTATCGTCGCCCTGGTGCTCGCTATCGTCGCCTTGGTGCTCGCTATCGTCGCCCTGGTGCTCGCTATCGTCGCCCTGCTGCTCGCTATTGTCGCCCTGATGCTCGCTATCGTCGCCCTGGTGCTCGCTATCGTCGCCCTGGTGCTCGCTATCGTCCCCCCGCTGCTCGCTATCGTCGCCCCGCTGCTCGCTATCGTCGCCCCACCGCTCGCTATCGTCGCCCCGCTGCTCATATGCGACCACCGATATCTAGCTATCGTCGCCCCGCTGCTCGCCACCGTCGCACCCATTCCTGCCTGTCGCTGCCGTTGCGCCTTTGCTACCGCAGATACATGAGGAATGGAGGGGCGGGAGAGGAATAAGGACGGCAACAGAGGAAAACGAGCGCAATGCGCTTCGAATACGACAAAAAAGGTGTTTACGAGGTAGGAAATTGCGCAGATATTCGTGAGCACATCAATAGACCATGAAACGCGAGAGATCTTAGCGGAAATGGCTCTGCGTAGCTCGGGAAACTTACTTCAAGTTAGTAAGAACCTAGTTCAAGCGTGAGAGTTTGCCGAGTTTGAGTTGTTTTGAGTTCAAGTTTGAATTTTCAAGTTTGCTGCCTGCGCTCCCCCTCATCTCGTTGAGCGGAGCTTTTCCCCGAGCCCTCCCCCGTTTCCCCCCCCACACATCATACTGCGAAGGACTTTTCCGCACGCCCTTCCCCCGCTGGCAGAAACCTCTCCCTGCTCGCTTTCCTGTGTATACTGGGTTACGCGGCTTTCAAACTATAATAGTTTGAACTGGAGCCGGGATATCTGCACCACGGCTTTAAGGGTACCTTAGAGCGTGTTACGTACCCCTTATTTTGGGGCCTGGTCGCGGTTGCCTAAAACGGATAGGTTGGGTTGAACGAAGGGTTACCAGATTACCCGAGAGTGCACAGTGTACAGTAAAGGACGTGTGTACCAAGGCACTCTCACACTCGGTCGAGGCGACCATGTAGTCAAGCAACCGGCTGGTCGCGCCCGCATTCTGTACAACCAGGTCCAGGCAACCAATCCGCAACGTACCGACCTGGTGCGCAACCGGGGGTAAACGAAAACATTGCGGGCAAGTTGCACTAACGTGATTCGATGTGACTGGTGAAAGAAACTTTTGCATCGAAGTTTGACCACTAATACTGATGCAGTAACTGTTCGGTCTACCCCAAATACTATCTGCATGGTTGGGTCCCAAAAACCGGCGGGTGGTACATTTCCAGGTTGCCTACTGGGTCCCCAACTGGCCAAATTTACAGACCGGCCGACCCGACCAGTCAGGTTGGGTCGACTTTTAGAGGCAACCGGGCCCTGCCACCAAAATAAGGGGTACGTAACACGCTCTTAGTCTTGTACTGTAACGCAGACAAGGAACCACAGCTCGTGCTATTTCTTCCACAACGCACGTGACGCGTGTCATGGCATCATTGGTTGCAGTCATGCGTTGGCATGATGTCGAATGAGTTTCCGCCGTCGCTCTTAACCCCACAGTTGGGAGTCTGTCTCAACGATGGCGGAATGAGGGGAGGGGAGGGGAGGGGAGGGGAGAGGAGAGGGAAGGAAGCCAAATTCACGAGGAAGTGATGGATGGTGTTGGCTTGCACTGCCAATTTCCTGCACAACGCGCAAGAGAGTGGGCGAGAAAACGGATGGATGGACACGTCAGATAAGCACTGCACTTCCACACACAACTTTCAAAAACAACAGACTGGGACGCGGTTCTGCAACAGTTCATCTGTTGGTACGAGCACAGATCATCGCATCTCAAACAAAAGTTTTGAACAGTAAAATAATTCCCAGGGAGTGCTTAAATCACCCACAAAGCGTTTCGAACATGTTCCGAACTCGGTGCTTGAGCAATTCATCACTGATTTCCACAGCAAATGACACCATTTTTTGGAGTAGATTGCTAAGATTGTGCGAAACAAAACAAAATCTGATGGTAACTCCTGCCTGAACCACCACAAGTTAAATACGCCTCCCAACCTCTTTATAGAAAGCACTGTGGCGTACCAAGCAGGATACGGCCAGTCCAATTAGCACGCAGAATTGCTGCCAGCTAGATCAAGATGGGTCATCCATACGGGCGAATCTGTGTACGTATTCTGCTGCACTTGCAGCATCTCTCGGTCACGTGATGTGCAATCCCAAGATATGGCCCGCTCACTTTCTTCGAGATTTCTGTGCACCATACCAGCCAGGTGAATGCTCCTACAATGTCTCAATCAACTCAAACCTGCTCAATTCAGAGGCTGGAACCCCCTCCAAACTACAGTTCCTCCAATTTTCGATAGCCAAAAGAAGTCCGAGAAAACGAAATCTTTCTACCTACTAAGGCTTCAAAATAATTGCAGGTGGCTCCTCATTTTGTGACCATGATGAGGCTGGATTAAGACCATCTATGTTGTCGTCCTCATTGATACAGTTCTCACTACAATTCGTACAGCATGGAAGCATAGACCGTAACTACCACCCAAACAAACCAAATCGATAAACGACACTCAACAACAACCCAACACCCTACCTCAAGGGAAAAGATCATGCCCCTCACAACCCACGTTCCTTTGCACCCTCCTCACCAACTCCCACCCCCTCAACCCCCTCCCCTTTCCCCCTCCCCCACCCCCTCAGATCCGTGCGTCTGGATTAAGACCATCCAAATATGGGCCTTCAGTCAATGAAAATATTATGTTCATAACCCCTTCTAAAATATTATTTTTTTTAAACACACATAGTGTTTTTCAAAATTGTGTATTGTGATGTTAAAATGATAGGTGAAGGGAGGCTTAGGATCCATGGCTAGGAGGTGAAGCTAGGCATCGACTATCGAGGGAAAAGTCGAAAGAGGAGAAGAAGGATTTCACTATATAAAGTTGAGTACAAATAGGGTAGGAAAGGTGGGTACACCACCAAACAAGAAGTTAGGACAACTACACTAAGGCTATAACTACATGCAGTTATAATATAATTATGACATCCCCCCTTAACTGCATGCAGGAAGAGCCAAGTGCTAGACACAACCTGCAGGGGTACACCAAGCAGAACAAAGCAGCAGCACGCAAGTGTAGCGATAACCAGTGCAATAGTGACAGATACAGTTGCAGCAACCCCGCAGCCAAGGTAGAAGCAGCAGAAACAGGAGCGTGCGGCGGCAAGGGCGGCGGCACAGCAGCAGTAGGTGCATGTGGCGGCAGGCCGCCTGGAGAGCAGGAGCGTGCGGCACAAGCGGTGGCGGCACAGCAGCAGTAGGTGCATGTGGCAGCAGGCCGCCTGGAGAGCAGGAGCGTGCGGCACAAGCGGTGGCGGCACAGCTAGGCTCAACGGCAGCACCTGCCGCACAACAGCAACTGGAGGTACCACTGGAGCAGAGGGCGGCAGGTGCAGATGAGGGGGGGGGGGGGCTGCTTCGTCCGCCACACTCTGTCGTCCCCCTTAACCGCTATCACCCCCCCTACACCTCGCTCCCGCCCCCCCAACACAGCAACATGTGCAGCCGTGGGAGAGAGAGGAGGAGAGGCGGCAGCAGGTCACCCACACCCGCCACCCCCACACCCGCCACCCCCATACCCTCCCCCCACTGCTGCACTTGCAGCAGGGAGATGGAGGAGAAGTGGGGGGGCGGGGGGGGGGGGGGGCTGGTGCTGCAGATCCCCTCCCCCACTGCTGCACCCATAGCAGGGGGATGGAGGAGAAGTTGGGGGGGGGGGGGCTGGTGCTGCAGATCCCCTCCCTCCCACTGCTGCACCCACAGCAGGGGGATGGAGGAGAAGTGGGGGGGGGGCGGGGGGGGGGGGGGGGCTGGTGCTGCAGATCCCCTCCCCCCCACTGCTGCACCCACAGCAGGAGGATGGAGGAGAAGTGGGGGGGGGGGGGGGGGGCGGGGGGGGGGGCTGGTGCTGCATATCCCCTCCTGCCACCTCCTTAACCTCCAAGCTCCCCCCCCCTCCCAACACAAGGTGCGGCAGGGAGAGAGGGAGGAGGAGGCGTGGCGGCAGCTGCTGCTGCTGAGGCAGATCCGCCACCCCCCTCACACCCTCTCCCCCCCGTCCCCACGGAGGGGGGGGAAGGGGGAGAGGGGGGCGGGGGCGGAGCTGCGCGTGCGACTGCAGGGCACGTGGGCAGGAAGAAGTCACCACGCAGTCTGAGCACAAGCAAATGGCCACAAGGCCAGTTCATATGCAGAGTCATATAAAAGAAAACAAACAATAAACAGAACAAAACCTAGCAAGAGTAAGCATGCAGGTATACGTATAAAGGGTACAGTACAGGCAGAGTCAGGCAGAAAGCAAGTGAGGCACAGTAGGTACAAGGCCTAACACAGTGCAGAAACGCTGATGATCACAAGGCTGAAGTGCCTTGGTGAAAACATCAGCAGTGTTGGCCTGAGAGGCCACGTACGCAAGACGAAGCTGGCCACGCTGCTGTAACTCTCGAGCAAGGAAGTAGCGCAGAGCAATGTGCTTCGTTCTGTGCTCCAGTCTGTGCTCCTGACACAAGGCCAGCATGGCCTTGTTGTCGACGTACAGAACTGGAGGAGAACGAGGCGCCTCTCCCAAGTCGGTCAGCAGGTAGGTAAGCCAGCGTAGCTCCTGTGCAGCCATGGCCCCAGCGTAGATCTCAGCCTCACAACTGGAGCTGAGAACAGAAGAAGAGCGGGTAGACCGCCAAGAGACAGAACCGGAGCCAAGACTGAAGGTGTAGCCCTGTGACGACCGCTGCGTAGCCAAGTCGTCAACCCAGGAGGCGTCAGCGTGACCAGTGAGAACAACTCGAGCCCGTCCTCCAAGCACGAGCCCCATGCCCGATGTACTGCACAAGTATCGCAACACCCTCTTCGCAGCATCCCAGTGCACCTTTCGGTGCCTGCCGGGAGCCACGTAGCG